GAAGATTGGCAACAGATGTTAGCTCAGGGCCAATCTTCCTCACCAAAAAAAAAAAAGAAAATGTGGAATGAAGGAATATACAAATGAAGAAAAAACAAATGAATGGATGAATAAAAATAGAATGAAATTAAAGAGCTAATCTCTATGAGGGAGAGGAGAAGGAGCTAAGACATTTTAGGAAGTAAGAACTAAGGATTTTTACCCATTTGAAATTTACAGAATACCAGTATATGTATGTGTACTATCATTTTTTTGGAATGGAAGTTCTCTGGGGTCCAGAAGAAGAATTCTTACATCAAACTTAGGAACAACTCAAATCGATGGCAGAAAGAAGGCCTGAGAAACCAGCCAGCCATGTCCTGGCAAGAAGTCTTTCCTCTCAAAGATGGCATCCCTCTTGCACAGTAACTCACTGTAAGCTGTCTTTTAGCCTGTGACAATTCTTAGTTTTCAGGCATTTTTACGGTGCAGACCATCTCTCTGTCTTTTATCATTCCTTGCCTACTACTCCGAGTCAGGTACCTAAGAAGTGCATGGCCTTGTTCTGCATAAAACTCGACAACTTCACCTTGGTTCATGGCATAGCCTTGTATCTCTACCAACACCTGGTCTGGCCTCTGTTTCCTCCCATCTAAAATATGGGAGAGAAACTCCAATGATCCAGAAGCTTCCTTCTAGCTCTAAAATTTTGTGATTCTAATGTTAATAATGGTAATATCAGATTATACTGATAACATAGGTTATCTGTTGTGTTGCCAGCTAAAAATCACTAGTCTGTACCATGACTAAAGGTCTCTGAGATTGATAGTGATATAATAACTCAAGGAGACTTTTGCAGTGGTCAAGCTGAGAGAAGCCACACTCCTAGCGGGCCACCTGGCCTAAGCAGGCAGCTGTGTCCGAAACAGTGAGCTAGGCTTTACTGTAGAAGACTGGGCTTCTCAAATGTCTTTGAGTCAATGTGGCCGGCAGAGCTAAAACATTCTAAATAGCTCCTATGTCTCCTAGGTTCAGTTTTGGCAGATGTAAAATTAGAAGAACATTGTGGATTAGGTTTTCCATAAACCACAAACTGGAAATACCAAAACACGAGCTTCCACTGGAAAAAAGGGGTAGGAGTTTGTCATCCGCCTTGTGTGAGGGAGGCAGCAGGATAATTAATATGCCCGTTATTTATAGCCAGGTGATGATATCATGCTGGCAATTTGAGCTGTATAAGAAAGGAATGTTTTTAATTTCTGAATAAGTCCTGGATCATATTTAAATGATATCAAGCATCCAAATGAGAATAGAAAACTTTATGTGATCAATGAATGTGAAAATGAATGAATGCCTATTTGCTTGATATTTTCAGGCAAAATAGCTATATATTTGATGGGATGCCATACATCCACACAGAACATTCTTGACATAACACAGATGTGGCCTCAGGCTTTGTCAGAGGTGAACCACTCATAGGCAATTAGGAGCTTTGGGAGACACAGTGGTGAACAGGTGTCTGTGAGCTGGGTTGGATTGTGCATACTCTATTGCTATGAAGTTTCCACCTAGCTTGCTAGCACACAGTCACTGCAATGCAGTGCACACTCGTCCTCTCAATTTGTCTGTACATGAGGGGTTCCTGGCTGCGTGATGACTCTGAGACATCATATTCTTAGTCATGGAAATAGCTACAGCATTGCAAAAACGGGTGATACTCTCTACCCCAAACTATAGTTAGTGCCTTCTGTTCCTTATTCAATCACAGTAAAGTGTCCAGAGATTTCTTGGCCCTATAAAATGTGTGTTCTCATCCAAATGCAATTTCTGGCTTGTCTCAGTCCCTTTTTCACAAAAGGCTTTTTTTTCCCCCACAGGGAAGGATTCGCCATGAGCTAACATCTGTTGCCAATCTTCATCTTTTTATTCCTCCCCAAAGCCCTCCAATGCATGGTATATCTTAGTTGTAAGTTCTTCTAATTCCTCTATGTGAATGGCAGCCACAGCATGCCAACTGACAGACGGATGGTGTGGTTCCATGATCAGGAAATGAACCCGGGCCACAGAAGCGGTGAAAGCGCCGAACTTTAACCACTAGACCGTGAGGGCTGGCCCCACAAAAGGCATTTTGAGTTCATTTATTTTATTAGCTCTAGTAGAGAATAGAATATCAAAATCTGTCTAACATGTTGAATTAAATTCTAAGAGAAGTGTTGTTAGTATATTTTTATATAATAGAAATATTAAATGTTAGGAATATGTCTTGCCATATATCTCTTTCTTCAACATCTTAAAAAAACTGACATGTTCAAGTTTTCCTCTCCATTCTTAATAATTTATGCCACTGATGACATCAGAATGCAGCTCTTTTAAATATGGCTTTGTTAATTTTTATTTGCCTCCTACAGGAAATTACCGGTTAATTGGTAATTTATGAACCTTGGGGATTAATTTTAAGTGAGGTTTTTTAGTTTGTTTAAAGAAGCTAAAATGAAAACAAAGATAGAAATCTTTTAAAAAGTCACATGGTAAAAAGAGCATGATTTTTTTTTAAAGATTTGCCCTGAACTAACATCTGTTGCCAATCTTCCTCTTTTTTTTCCTCCCCAAAGCCCCAGTCCATGGTTGTGTATCCTAGTGGTAAGTCCTTCTAGTTCTTCTATGTGAGCCGCAGCCGCAGCATGGCAACTGACAGACTAACAGCTGCAGCCACAGCATGGCAA